TAGCATCATTCATCTCTCCGTGGGGTTACCTTACATATATCCAAGCTAACCAGGGCCAAGCAGAACTCATCTCCAGTCTAAAGATGGGCAAGATTGCAATGTGAGAACATCGATGCTTTGGCTGATTTTGGAGGGCAGGATTCAGAAGGTGAGCCGTCAGCACCACCCCAGGAAACTGCTGTGTATAAATATGAATGCTGGTTTGGGTGAAGATGGGCAGGCTGTTCAGGAGGGGCAATCAAATCTTACGACTGAGATTTTTAAACAGAACCACCTAAAGTCGGGCTTCTAAATTCAGCACTGAAATAAGAAGCCTGATATTCAAAAGTGTTGACCATACATCTCAAAAGGAGACACTGGATGTTCAGCACTTCTGAAAACTTTTTTTATGGGACGTAGAATAAGTCACCCAGTGTGGAACCCAAATAGGGCTGAATATTCTACTGTGGCATGCACAAGGGGATGGGAAGAAGAGAGACCTTTCCAGCAACCCCAGCTTCCTTCACACAAGGTATCATGTTCCCTTGCTCACACCTCCACTGTAGTGCTCCCTTAATTTATTTAATTCTTACATTGTCCCTGATGCCTGCAAGGGAGAAGGCTGAGGAAGCATTTGGGGTTGCTTGGGGGAGCTTCTTTGCATTAATTTCCTGTTCTTAAGAAGCTCTGTAGATTTTTTTTCTGGAAGAGGTGCCTTGTACCTTCCGCATCAGGCTACTTGTTCTCAAGACAGACCACTATTGTGCATAGCCAGCAAATGCAACCTGTTGTGGAGTGTGTCCGTGCCTATGATGACATGTAAACTAAGCTGAAGACTTGGCATATAGTACATTTTCCTTAACCTGCAAAGGAAAAAATAATGGTGCTGGCCAATGTCGGCAGACAGGCTACTGGGCTGGATGGACCTTTGGTCTGACCCAGTATGACCGTTCTTATGTTTTGTTCTAATGGGGTTGTCTCTTTTATTGTTTCTTTGTGATACATAAAGAAAGCCTGAAAGGTTTCAGTTCAAAGTTGAGGAAAAAGGCATAAGATAGGAGGGTTTCCTGGTTATTTTTAACATTACAAATTCAAATCTTGTCTACCTAGGAAGTTTCTATGGACTCTGGAGAATTGGTGAAATTAAGAATTTATAGACTGAAAACTGAGTAGTTGAAAGGGTGAAAGGATTTTTAGATACATATATAAAACATGTATTTAACTCCAGTGCTTAAGAACATTTGGGAGAAAAGATGCCTTTGTTAAAGGTTCATTACTATTACCCTTTTTATTCAGGTTTGTGAATTTCCAATAAACATCTCTGAGAATCTCAATAGGTTCTCCAGCAAAATGAGGGAAGGTCTCATGTGACATTTTTGGTATCCATAAACTAAAAACCAAGCAGAAAAACCCTTTCAGGCTTTCTTTATGCATCATAAAAGCCAAAAAAAGGACATAAAGGTTTTTAAAAGTCTTTCATAGTTGATCGTAGAGATTATAAGCAATTTCCACTATAAGAAATAGCACTTCACACCAATTTAATAGGTCTGAAATGTTGCCCTGAAAAGAAACTGGGAGACTGGTAAGTGATGTATGCTAAAGAATTCTGATTACTGTAGCTGTCTCAGTTTCCAGTAAAAACAATGATTTGCAATACTGCTCCCCACAACAGAATTTTACAGACTATGGCATGAAAACATGTGACAGGCTCACCATTTAAGGTTAAGGTATGATGTGTTACTGTATTTGATTTTTGTATGCGTCTTCATCAGATTAATCCTACATCGTTTTTACTATAGAGTGATTGTCATGATTATGAGGGTTAGCCAGCAGCCTGGGGATTAAGGGGTTAACTACACCTAGCCAGGTGGAGTGACCAATAAGAATGTAGGTGGGACTTTTCAAACTGGGACACAGGAATTTTGGTTTTTTTCTTAGCTCCTTTTGTCTCTCTCAGTGAGTTCTCTGCAGCTACAGAGAGGGACAAGCATGTCTCTCTCTCTCTCTCCAAGACACCATTCTTCATTTTCTGTAAGTAGGGTAAAGTTTAGGCAGTTTCATTAGGTTTTATTGTTTTAAGGATTGGGTATGGTGTCTGAGATCTGGCACTGGATGTTTTGGCTTTTCTTTGTAACTAAGTTCTAGGCCCATGGAGTTTCTCCATAAGTATATTTTGTTGTCTCCCTATCTAGTCATTATGTTTGCAACAGGAATATTGTTGTAATAATAAAGGTTCTTTCTTTTCTTTTTATTGACCTGGCAGTGGTTAATTGTGTGCCTTGATTTTTATTTTAGGGGTAAGATTTCCCAAATGATCTTTCCCCTGATTTCTTTATCAACATTTGGGTGGTGGCAGCGGAAGTTTTATTCCCAAGATCTAGGTTTTTAAGATCTTGGGGGGAAGTTTTATACCAAAGCCTGGTAGATAAGGCTTTGGGGTACACTTGCTGGCCCCCACTTCTGCATTTATCATGCCAGAGTGGGGAAGGAGCCATGACTTGGGGTAGCACTGGGGTAGTACTGGAGGATCAGGTTTCTCACCTGCGCTTTAGTCCTAGAGGCCCAGCTTTATTGCATGAGGTTGTAGAACGCAGCTGCAGGAGCGAGGGCTGTAAATCGTTAACCAGTTATCACCTTTACTGGTGACACCTGTGGTTAACCAAAGAGGGGCTGGAGCACCTTCTGCAACATGGGCAGGGGACACAGCAGCCCAGGAGGAGCAGCACTGCCTCTCCCCTCCCAACCTTGTTTAAATGGTTAACTGGTTCGACATGATGTTTAACTGGTTAAACAGGATTTTACATCCCTGCACAGAGGGTGATTAAAGCCTGCTTATTTACCCCTATGGAAGAGAACAGCGCTACCAAGCTGAAGGGACTAAAAAGTCTGAGGCAGAGGGCCCTCCCACTCCAAAATTTTCTTTAGCAACTACTCAGCTGTTCTTATCTTTTGAATTCCCCCACCTGCAGCTTAATTCATGTGTGCATACATGTGACTTGAGCACTGCTCACCCTTCCAAGTTAGTCAGGAAATGGGACGTGAGCCTTTGCTCAGGGAGGTGAGGGAACACTGCCTCCCTCACCACTTCAGCTTCCCCTGCTGTCCCACAACATCCCCTCTCCCAGCAGCTGCACAGAATCTTTCCTCTTCTTTAGAGGACTCCCTCTTCTCCATCCGCACGTGCCTTTTTCCAAGAAAGCCTTTTCAGAAAAGAGCTTCTTCCTTGTAGAAAGAAGTTTACCAGTGTCAGAAAAACCCCTCCATTTGATTTTTTTTAAAAAACATGATTGGTCCTCCGTAGTGGAAATTTAGCCTACAACAACTTGATTCCAACTATGCTATTCACATAGCTAGAACTGCACACCTTAAATAAACTCTCCCCTCCTCCCCCCCGACACTTGGCTTTAGAGAGTCTGATGTTGGAACCTATACAGATGTTAGAACCTAAGCATAGATCATAGCTAAAAACAGCTGCAAAGTGACATTAGTCACACTACTTATACACATCAAGAAAGAGTCCTGCTTTGAGATGGGAATATTTTATTTTGCTCTTAGAGCCATTTGACATAGGGGATTACACTATAAAACCTTTTAGTTCCTCCCCGTACAATTTGGCCTGAAGTAGTAAGAAAGTTATCACAGTCTGAGGGGAATGGTTGTAAGACGTTATCTCCCCAATACAAATGCTAACAAAGGGAAGAGTCTGCTTAAAAATAGTAAGAATAATACAGTGCAAAAGCCAGACTTTTCTTGGAAGTATGCTACTTTAACAATGTTAGATCTTTCTCATTGAAGATTCAGTAAGAATTCCCCTGCTACTAGCCATTAAATACAGACAAAAGACCAAGACTTAAATAACATTTTACCCCACAGAAAGGAGAGAGTGATTTGTACCAGCACATCACATCCTTCAGTAGTACAGACATTTAGATCTATAAAACTCAAAGCAATCTAGTAGAAAGATAGAATTATGGTTATTGCATAACAAAAGTGTTTTCCAGTTGTCCAATAATTAGATTATAAGAATCTAGTAGTTCATTAATGAACTAAAGAGTGTTTGGCAGATTTCTAGAGTCCATTTTTAGGACACAGTCTTAGACCCATACCACAGATGCTCATATTCAGACAACTAGCTCATGCTCCTGTTGGTAGTGCATCACAGTGTTGCACGTACTCCGCCTTCTATGGCTTTGAGGCTAGCTAGGCCATTTTGGACAAGCCCACAGATCATTTTTAGCTCTGATTACTTACAAAGCAACAGTACATTATCCAGCTAGCACATGGGTTCCCTTCTTACTCCCCAAAATACAGCAGCACAGTGCAGGAAGGACTTGGTGAGAAAAAAAGATATCTTCCATTAAGGGAATGATCAGATTCACTGAAGTTGTGCTATTTTGAAGTTGTGCTATTTGAAGCAATACATCAGATTGCACATTTCCCTTAAGAAGGCTGTTTTAGAAGCCCCACAAGTAACAGATGGAACATAGCCATGGATCTACCAGTCTAGGCTTGGGATTTGGAGCAGAGATCAAGAACTATGCTTAGGGCAAGGCTTCTGCTGGTGCCCCTAATGCTTTGATACTTAGCCGTCAAGCTTTACTGTCCTCGTATTGCAGGCCAGGGGAGATTCCCCTTTGTTAGATTAGGGCAGCTAGCTTATGGCATGCTATGCCATTTCAGACAACCCCCAAAAAGGCATAGCATCACTGGGATTAAAGCTTTTGCTAGAAAAAGTTGGAGGGAGAGAAATAGCCTGAGATAGCACAGAAAAGGGAAGCCATCTTATACTTGTCCCACAAGGAGGCCAGATATGGTTTGAAAGAGAGATTCCCCTTTGTTAGATTAGGGCAGCTAGCTTATGGCATGCTATGCCATTTCAGACAACCCCCAAAAAGGCATAGCATCACTGGGATTAAAGCTTTTGCTAGAAAAAGTTGGAGGGAGAGAAATAGCCTGAGATAGCACAGAAAAGGGAAGCCATCTTATACTTGTCCCACAAGGAGGCCAGATATGGTTTGAAAGAACAGTTGGGGGCACCATGGTTACATAGCACTTTGCATGGTAAAAAAAAATCCCTACATTGTGTACAGGCCATGCACCCTCCCGTGACAGACTGCTGCATTCAGTACTCTCAATGCAAAGCTTAAGTCACAGGAGTGGGTTTCCCTCCCATTTGGGTGTATACTTCAGCTGTTGCTGCCTGCTCATCAGTAGCATTTAAAGGGGTCCTCAAACAACCTGCACAGACTTATGGAATTGCCTGACCACATGGAAAACAGAATGTTTCACGCTATCTGCAGAGAGTATTTTCACTCAGACATTATACAACTGCCAGGTAGTGGCCTTGGGCCTCCCATTCTCCCAGCAGGCATGTATCAGTGACATATGAGCCTTTTGTCTACAGCACCACCCCTACACAGCAGCAAATCACTGCAATCATGAATCTTACATTAGCACATGGTTGTATAGCCCAATACCCATCTATAAAAAATAACCTGGCAGCATAGGTCTAAGATGTGAGGAGCATAAGAATCCATTTCCACTCAATGAGCCCATCCTATAATGTTTTAAATAGGATTAATAGTAACTACTGTGGATCATGCTCAGTTTTCCCAGATTAGTGGTAGCCTCCTGAAGGGGAGTGAATTTCAGTCAGTAGAGATTTATTTAGTAAGCACCTGTCCATAAGCCCCGAGAGGCACAGATTGTTAAATACTGACATTTTCTATATAAACCAGTTACTTCTATAGAAGATGTAAACCTTATTTGCTTTAATGGGTTATTGATTAAAGTGCCTTTTCCTTTTAGAATTCTCTCCACTTTAGGTGAAGAGAGAGACTAAGGGGGCAGGGGAAAGGACTCTTCCGGGATTAGCCAGCAGGTATCTTTCATCTCTGCAGGGCTGAAAGTAGCACGCAAGAATTCTTGGCCCATACCAGCCTCAGGCCAACAAGTGTTCTTTGTTTTGTACTTCAAAGTGACAGGAGTGAATTGGTTTTATCCTCTGCTCCTATCTCAGTGCAGGAAGTGAGAGCCATGGCAATAGGATTCAATAGCCTTGGAGGTTTTGTGCCTCTCTCCAGACTGTTCAGAATCAGGTATTTTATCCCACTCTGTGTATCCTCACTGACCCAGAGAGAGTCTGTTGCATCAGCACAGTCCCTGGTACTGGTGGAAATCACCCTCTAAGAGATTGGCACTTCAGGCTTCAGCAGCGTTGTTCTGGTTTGGTTCACTAGCATCCTGAAGAAGTGGTGTTGTTTCTGAATACTGAGGTGGTTCGTTCTGTAGCTCTGGCTCTTGTTGGCTCTTCTCTCTGGCATTTCTCTGAATAAAAGCAAGGACAGGTGACTCAGGATGCAGTTAGACACTAGCACTGGTCAAACCACCAGCTAAAGATTTACCCAGGATACCTGATAGTATGTTCAGCACTGGAATTGGTCATGTAAAGATTGCAGAGTAATATGCATTTTAGTGACACCCAGTAAGGGGGAGCTAGCTGCTTCCCCTACAACATGTCCCATTCAGAGACCAGAAACTGGAAGTTTATTAATCCACATCTGTCCTCTCAAGGACAGCAATAATCCTTGGGGGAAAGCTAATGCTTAAGAGCACCACACTTGGTGTGTCTGGTCACAGAACATTCTATACAGGTTATGAAATAAAGCTGAAGAGTAAGCTCAGAGTTCCAAGAGGGGTGTAAAATTGGCACTTACTACAGCAGCATCTTAGTGAGACCATAATACATTAGTACATTACCCCCAGCAATCTACAGCACTCGGTCCGTTCCTGGGCTGTTCCATCCTGTCAGTGAAAGTTCATGGCAAAAGCCTTCTGCATATGCAAACAAACTGTATGGCAACTTAACTTAAAAAGCCTTCTCAAGTATGCATCATGAAAGAACAGAGTGACCTGGTGACTCATTCTCCAGGAGAATGTTGATTTAGATTAGGACTGCTCTTCTTTTATTACCAAAGAGCATGCAATGAGCATGAAACAGATTGGTATTGGAACACATATGGTCAGAAAATTGTTCAAGTCTAAAGATCAGAAGTAGTAAAACCTCTAGCCTGCCTAATGACAGAAGTATTCTCAGTTCCATGTTTGTACAGAACTCCCACTGAGACATCATGGAATCCCAGTAGAGGCTCCTCTCTGGAGAGTTTTGTCCCAAGTTTAGGTTAGCCATCACAGGCTGCTCAGCCTGGGAAGCACTGAAGCATGTATCCAGATTCACTTCAAAGCAAACACACAGGCAGACAGTCAATCAAGGTAACATCTTGATACATATTTTTAGCATAGGCCATGAAAGCTGTATTCAATCAGTTCATAATTCACAGCTTTAATTCGTTGCCTTGTCTCTCCTGGTGTGGGCTGTGACCACACTTCAATTGAAAAAGAGCAACAAGTGATGGTCTCTAAATTCATCTGCAGAGGAAGCCAAAGTCACACAGGTCCACAGAGGTCACCCAGACTTTTGTACATCATTTGCTGATTTTACCCCCCTCCTCTCTGCCCCAGCAAGCAAAGTTCTTACAGAAGATAGGACCTCATGCCCCTCCATACCAACCATCACATACATCAGGACTGCAGATAGTGCTTCCCATGAATCCAGCAAGAAAGGGTCTTGAAAGAAGAGCTGCCTGCTCCTTCTCTCCCAGACATGTAAAGTAGTGTGATCTAAATACATGCAATATCCCCATTTCCTAGTTTAACCCAAAGCAAGCTTGTTCATGCTAACCAAAAGGATACCCCAGCACTTTAGTCTGATAGCAGATGGAAGCAACATTTTAGCAGGTTTATCAAGTTAGCATGGTTTAAAGAAGAGTTTTACCTTTACCGGGTACCCACCTACAGGCTTGCTTCCTGCAGCACGGTCCCCTTAACTGGAGTCAGACGTTTTTCGGATAAGGCCTGGTCGGCCTCTTTAGTCTTTTTATTGCTACTCCAAAATAAAAAGCATTTTTCCTAGAAGATAATCAGGCTAGTTTATGTTGTATTTTAAAAATAACAATTTTAAGATTTTTTTCCATTTAAGAAAGGGAGGCTATATTTAAGCTTTAATCATGGTTTGCTTAGTTACTAAATACTAGTTCTTTATATCAAGTTTAAAATTAGAGCTACAAATTTGTTCTTATTTTTAAGATTATTAATTTCTACCAAACCAGCTTTAAAATGGTCTGTTCACACTTCACACTCTTTAAATACTTGTAATGAAATGGGTTTGTTCAGAAGATTAGGATTGTAGCATGCAGTCAACTAAATGTAAGCTTTTCTCTGGTTGTTCAGCCGAGGGGGGAGGGGAAGGGAGACTTTTACGCTTGTGATTGAATTGGCGAGACAGACACCATTTTAAATTGGCTCAAGTTATAATCCATAATCTAACTGTGCATTTAAAAAAAAAAATACTATTTAACATTTTCCAGGATATCAATGAGATTGAGTTTAAGCAACAGTGCTCCCTCTAGAAAGCTGCTACAGGAAAGGATATACATTTTACATGCTGTTGCAAGAATTTAAGGGGATTTCAAAATGGATCACAGATGGATTTAGAGCCTTTATCTTAATCACAGGCACTCAGTCAAGAGCATTCTGGCTCCTAAGAGGGAAGACTGCGGTTGATTAAGTAGTCTAGCAACAGTTGATTGACACTTAACTAGAACAATCAGGAATGCACCTTAAATGCAGCTTTTATTTTGACCTGCATTGCAGTTTGTATTGTAACTGCATAGTGATCAATAGATGCATAATCCTAAATGCTCAGCAAGACTCCCCTAACAAATTTACTGGGCCACTTTCAGGTTCTCTGCTGTGATTTTTGTATTCCTTTTTGGTGAGCAAGAAGTTCTCTTGTACTAGCATCCATACAGGCTCAGCCTTAACTGATAACTCTAGACATTTAGCTCACCCATGAAGAATGGCAACTTCCTTCTATCTAGGGTTCTCTTTTGCAGATCTGTTTCCAGAGGCCTCTATCCATGCAAGTGGCCAAGTGAAATTTAACCCAAGATACTGAATCCCCATTGATAGTGTGCTCCGTGTGGAGGATTTCCATGTTTTAAGGTCTGTTGTGGGATCTAGCAATGTTCGATTAACTGATATTAAACAATCAATTAACCTCATGAATTCTTATCAGTTACTTGACTATTGCATAGTCCCCAGGGTGGGGCTGACATCCAGTGTGCACAAGCCCCACTTCCAGAGAGCCCCCTGCCACTCCATACAGAGGCAGCAGCATGGAGTTCCAGGCAGGAGCTGATTCGCAAGGGAAGCCAGTTTAAAAAACAGACTCCCCCCTTGCAGACGGGCTGCCTGTTCCCCCGTGCTGCTGCTTCTGATACAGAAGCAGCAGCCTCTGACCAGGGGTAGGGGGCAGTCTGAGCTCCTGGAACTAAGCCAGGCTGCCTGCATGCCTGCACTTAATACACTTTAAATGCAAAGACAGCAGGGATAGGTCCCAGACTTGGCACAAGCCAGGACTGAGCCAGGTTGCTGGCCAGCCTGCAGATAAATTTACTGGCAAGAAGGGGCAGAATGTGTGTAGTCTATAGCATTAACAGAAAGTTTTTGCTTATCGACTACACTATTACATCCTTAGTGGGATCCCTTTTGGTTTTAAAGCAGTCTCCTGCCAACTGGCCACTGGAGGACCAGTGTATTGACAGCAACTGTGCTGCGTGAGCACCTCCAAAGGAAGCTCTTTAGAAAGATCATCCCTGGAAAAAACAAAACAAAACTTGGCCTCCTTGCTTCGTGCACAAAGCCCCCACTTCATCTAAGGGTACAGAGACAGGAAGGATGGGCAAGGCGGGGGGGAGGGAGGCAGGCGGCGAAGGTAAAGTCTCAGAACTGAGTAAATGTCAGTTAGCTTCTGGTTTCATAGCTCCCAAGGCTGGAGGAAACCATTCTAGCCTAATAGCCTGTATCATATTGGCCACAGAACTGCCAAAATTTCTGTTAACTACAGCATCTCAAAACAAAACAAAACAAAAAAAAAAAGCCACACACCACACACAATCCAATCTTGAGTTAAAAGGATGCCAGCAATTGAGAATCTTCCCACACCCCCTGTTAATTAGCCATGGGATAATTGACACATTATTAAAGCAAAGTCAATAATAGTGGTCGTCAAGTAATAGCAACACTTGCTTGTCACATAATGGAGCTCACAATCACTTGTGCACTGGTTTTGAACATCCTTTAACCCAGTTAATGTACTCATCTAAATCACTTCAGAGAACCATCAAGTGAATCAAACACTACTGAATTAGTGTATCTTTAAGCTTAGAGACCGTATTCCTTTGGTATTGGTCATCCACGCTCACTTTGCAACAAAGGGATTTAGAAATAATGGACTTAAGTCAATTATGCTGCTGCACGGCTTGGTTTAAATCCAATTATTCACCACCTGGAAAATCCTGGTAACTAGTTAAAATGAGCTTAAACTAAAGTTTGACTATCAGCTAGTAAGAGGAGTGGGATGAATAGTTTCAAGGATTTAAGGACTGGAAGATAAGCACGGGTCAGCTTGGGCCTCTGATGAGCTAACCTTGGAGATAACTTGCTTGTGATTGCAGTGAGCCAAAACACTAAGTTTGGGGATTTAAAGCCAAAGTGAGTGAGCTAGTTGGGAGGAACATGTACTCAGCTTGTTGACTGATAACCAAGAGGCTGTTTTAAAGCAAATGTGAACTTTTTTGGTTACTAGAGTCTTCTCATGGGCATGTTTTGGGTCCCAAGTTGAAACACCTCACTATCAAGGATTGGTTTTAAACTATTTAACTTTTTGCAGCTTCTCACTTGTTGATCTTTGTGTTACTGCGCTGGAGTAATCCAGAGGATTGATGTGTAAGGGAACGGGATTGCCCCACAGTGCCAAAGCCACTCATGATGAAGTGCCCTGGAAACTGCACTGAGTAAGCCACACATTCTCAATACACGATGATCTTCCCCAAGAGAAAGAGTCACAGGAAAATTTCCTGCCCTGAGTGTATCTGGGAGGAACTACTGCATGTGTAGATTGATTAACAAATTGTCTTTGCTGCCTTGAGTCACTGAGGCCTGGTCTACATGACACTATTCAGGGGACACAAGGCAGTTTATGCCACTAATTGCACCAACATCTATCCTACAGCTGTGTCCCATCCACACAGTGCCATGCTACTTAGGACTAACTCCTCCTCTTGCACGAGAGATGTATGGCTTTTTGGGGAAGTTAGGACAAAGCTGTGTCCACAGACACTTTCGTAGGTTTGTCCCTGCTCCCACCAGGGAATGGGGAAGTAGTCTAGGAGCCAGTGGAGTAGTCAGGTCATGACAGGGACCTGTCAGGCTGTCAGCTCCCCATACTACAACTCTTTGGTTGGTGGACATGCTCCTGATGAGATGTGCACCACTGACTGCAGACAGACTGTGGTGGTGCACGTCCACGTTGCAATTACTGTGGTCATTTCAAATGGACCAAATATACAACTTCAACGGAAGTGTAGATAGTGCCACGGTTAATAGTTTAGGGTAACACCACTAGAATCCAAATTACTAATTCCTACTACTGCCTTTGGTACTGGGGGAGGGGAGGGGAGGGGCGCGTGGGGGTGGACAACCAGGAACTGGAGCTGCAGGAAAGGAGACAAGAAAGAAAGCAGTTTACCCTCTTCTTGCTAGTTTGCTGCAATGAACATCGTGAGCTCCTGGCCTTGTTCCAACCTATTTGCAGCCAGGACTTCTATGTGCTTTAGCAAATCCCACTGCACGATCTTAAATAGCAGAGATGTCAGTCAGCACTGGTGCTGCAGTAGTGGAGCCAAGTCTATGCTAATAAATGTCAGGCAATACAATATTTTACCAGACCAACTGTTGAGACAGACAGCTCTCAGCTTTGTAGCTTATCACCCAAAAGCTAGTCTCAGCAACAGAAGTTGGTCCAGTTTAAAAAAAAAAGCCACACAAAAAAACCCACCCTCCCTCACCTGGAGGTATCCTGGAATCAATGTGGCTAACAATACAGAGTAAAATAAGCCAGACTTCTGTAGAGCAAGCTTGGGGTTGTGCTAGTCAAAGGAAGCGATTGTAGACTGAGCCATTCGAGCAAGAACTAATGAGCATCAGTGGCTACTGGAATGCCTGCTTTGGTCTGACCAAAAAGGGAGAGTGACTTGCTCCCCATGCCTACCATGAGGTGGAATTTGGAGGTAGGGCTAGAAGATCCAAGACCAGGAAGCCTCATGAGTCTTAATGTCAGCTAAAGACATTCATTTACTGGAGTGTCTCAGGTGTCAAGAGTTAGAAGTGAGCAGAGGTGAGCAATGCCCCTGGTGTCGGCTTCACAGCAGCGAATGAAATCATCAAGCTAGTACATCTAATATAAGATGGTGGATGTCTTAGGTAAGACTAACTACAAGAAAAAAAAAATCAGGAATTTCTGGATTAGGTGGAAAATTGGAATCAGTTGATTAAGTGACAAGTTTTGCCATTTGTTTGTTCCTACCTGTCTCTTTACCTCCAGCACAATGGCAACAAACATCAGAGCGAGACCCAGACCAATGGCGATATACTGCACGTATTCCAGCACAGATGGGATCAGGACCAGGCTGGTGTAGAACTGCTGCAAGACTGAACCTTCAATGGCTCCGCTCTGCTCAGAGGAGAATAGTTTTCAGTAGCAAGTTTTGCAGATCATAGTTCACAATTGACAGAGTAGAGATTGTCTTAATGGTGTCTCCCGTCCATTTTCCTCAGAAGCAGAGGTCCTCAAATTTTCCCCCCACATGGACCACTTAAATTGAGAAGTGTCACAGTGGACCAGTTACAGACATTTGAAAAGATCATTATTATTAGCTCACTATTGTAAAGTGCTATATAAAAAAACATTAATTGCTTTACAAATAAGCACACAACTCATTTTAAAATCAGTAGGTGTCTCTCCCCTCCCACAACACACAGGCAAGGCAGGTGGGCAATTGCTCTGCAGCAGCTGCCTCCCTGGATCTGAGGCATGCTGGAATGCCTACTCTGGTAAGACCAATAAGGGAGAGTGACTTGCCCCCATGCCTGAGGTGAACATGGGTTGTAGGAAGATTGATGAGGAATTTGGAGGTAGGGCTGGAAGAGCCAAGACCTGTGTTTGGCCATCACAGACAAGCACGTTCCAAATTCCCCCACCTCTTCTTCACTCCACTGGCCCCCCAACCTACCCATTTTCTTCACTTGATCCCATTGCCACCTCCCACCTATTCCACCCAAGGCCACCACTTCACCTTACATGTGAGGGTCCAAGTACATAATTAGTGGAGCCACACCTGCAAGCCACTCATTAGGTGGGTAGCCCTTCATTCTCTTGTGTACACCTCAGAAAGAACTGTCCATGGACCACCTGAACAGAGCATGTGGACCATTGGTAGTCCATGGATCACAATTTGAGAACCTCTGTTCCAAGTCATGCTTTAGTTTATATTTGACTGATTTTAAAGAGTTATCAGATCACACAAACAAGTTCTAGTATTTAGACTAAGCGGTATTGGAATTTTGCACTACAATTTAAATTTACTATGGTTAAGAATAAATGCCATGGCAGCATTTAAAGATCTAAAATGTTTAGGCCAGGAACATTAAGTAACAAATAGCCAGCATGCTCTTCCAACTTCTATTGTGTCTGAGGTCACATCTCTTTACACCCCCGTTAGGTTTCTAGTGCAGACAGCCATGAACAGGTACAAAGGATTCATCCACACAAATAGCTGGCTGGCATTTGCCCATTCATATTAACTTCTTGGTCTGGATCGCCCAAATTAACTCAAATATCGCTGTTGCTTTAATACATATAGAAGTAGACAGAAGAGGTTAACTACTCAAGTTGCAAATCTGAGTCAGGAAGAGATTAAGTGTGCAGCCAAGTACTTCTAATCCCATTTATGCAAAGTTCCCAATTAAAGACTGTGCCACTTTAGACCTTTACTCCAATTAAAGTTTCTCCTGTGAAAGATATGCAAAAATCCTGCCTTCTAATCCCTTCCCCCACTCCTACTCATTCCAACCCATCTATATCTTCCAGTTGCCTCTTCAGTACAGATTTTGCATGGTTAACATTAGTTTACCAACCACCAAGTGGAGGAAATTCAACTCACCTCTCCAAACCAAAGTATAGGCAAGACAACCGGCTTGATCTGTCCTGTTTGGCTAAACAGAAAGATTAGGTTCATGTTGATCACCCATCAAACAGATCAGCATTATGCTCCAATAGTTTAAGGCACGTGTCGGTTTCTACTTGACAGTTCAAAATCTGACAGGCATTGAAGCCATGGAAAGAGTCTGTTCTCCCACCACTGCCCATTTCAGTGAATATTAGATCTGATTAAATTTCACAGATGCAACTTTAAAGTTGTTAGTTTTTAGGAGAACCTGAATTTTAGTTCATGTTTAAATAGGTAGTCAGCATTTGCCAGATGTCACTGTAGTATCTGAAATACCAATGTTTTTCCCCTTAGCCTTTCAAAAGGGAAGACTTTGCAAGCATTGAGTTTAATGGTAACAACTGTGCTGAATCCAAGATTTGTTGTAATGCATCCTGGCCACTTGCATGGCACTGGAAGTAGCATGTAATTGACTAATCGAATAATCAATAGGGTGGCGCTGCCCCTGTGAAATGCTGCTGCAGTATTTCAAAGGGGCAGCACCATGCAGAGCCTGGGGTTGGCTGACCCCACGCTCCTTGTGGTGTTGCTGCTTTGAAATGCCGTGTCAGTGCTGCACGGAGCCCAGGATCAGCTGGGGAGCTCCCAGGCTCTGTGCGGCACTG